ATCGTAATCTAGTCTAGGGATAAACTTAGTCTTATGGAAGATATCTAGTTCAATTAAGTTTGATATTTGGTAGTCTCATTAGGAGAATGTGTGTATGCTAAGAACGGAGAGTAAAGTTATGTTCCATGACACTATCAGGTGTCGATGTATGGTAGCTCCATACGGGAGTACATTCTGGTATTCCCCTTGGATGACCAGAAATAGTGGGTCCAGATCAGGCAATTGTAACGGTATGTCTGGTCACCTCCAAGAGTAGGTGACAACACTTGATCATTCTAGATAGTCTTGTGAATTACATTGGTGGCGTGAGCTCATTACTTACATACGTAGATGAAATGGGATACCATATTCATCAAATACTCTGATGACCTATATGCCTTTATGACTGCACCAACCAAGAAAGCCTCTAGCTGAGTAGTCAATATTTTTAACTATTCATCAGGGGAGATAATTTCTCCTTGATAATCTTCGAGGATCGGTAGGAATAGATATGTGGGAATGTAAACATATATGGATATTGTATGGTAACAGTTGATTTTGCAGGTCTGATAATTAAAGAATATTATCATAACAATATTGTGGGATTGAAATCCCTATGTATCTTACCAGGCTTTCCAACCTAACCCACTCAGTTTATATGCATCATAGGTATCAAGACTTAAGCTACTGGAACTTGATTAGGATGTTGAGTGATTAAGAGATAGGCTACAATAAAGTTCAGGATCTATAGGTCTTTACGCAGTAACTTATGTTTCTATATCGATTATGACATCCTTAGGGTTTTATTAAATTGAGACGATCATTTGTACTCAAAAGTTTTCAAATGTACTGGAAAATTCCGCATCAATGATAATATAAGCGTAAAGAAAAGTGTTAGTTGGTTCTAAAAATTAGAGGATGTCACAGTGCGTGAACCACTTAGATTGTCGGCTAATATTGTTTTTTCGTTGGATGACTTTTTCGTCGTTATATCGACTAAGGGTTGGAGCTGGAAAGATGCCCTAGGGGGCACAACTTTCCCGTCTGGCACATGATCGCTCACGTCCAATCTCTTGTACGTTTATCAAGGTGTCGCCGCCTAACGTAGTTTGGTGTGTCCTGATGGGGCGCTATCTTTATCAGCTTAAGCACACTTCCAGCTTAAGAGAACACTCATGACTATAAAAAAAACACTCGGACTAAAAGAGTCAACCCCCCCCCCCCTTAAAATTTTCCAAATTAAAAGAACACTCATGACTAAAAAAACAACTCTATATGTATCAGCATAAGCACACTTCCCAATAGCCATTGAAATGGCTTGTTCAAAACCTTTTGGATTATTTTATCTCTTCTTGAATGAGATCATGTAGATTAAACTGCACATTTGCGGTCCAAGACCGGTCTTGGGTCGGTCTCGAAACGGTCCGGTATTTTTGAGGTTGGTCTCGAAACGTCCGGTCTTTTTCCAGACCGGTCCCCGTCGGTCTTTTTCTTGTCTGGTCTTCATTTGGACCGGTCTTCATTTAGATCGGTCTTTTTTCGGTCCGGTTTCGCGGTTTTTACGTGCGCCTTTTTCGGTTCGATTTACGAGTTTTTTTGGTTCGTTTCAGAATTTTTCAATTCTTTTGTTTTTGTTTCAAGTTTTTTCCATTAACAAATATTTGATTTACACCAAAATGATAAATTAAGATTTATTAAATAGGATAATTTTAGTTTAATAAAAGAAAAAAAATGAAATAAGTTAGATAAATTGTGATTAAAATTTGTATAATTAACAAAAAATGATATATTTATAAATTTTCGTTACCGGTCTTTTTTTTTTCCAAACCGGTCTCGTTCGGTCTCGGACCGGTCTTGAACGGTTCGGTCTTTTTTGGGCCCGGTCTCGAAACGGTCCGGTCTTTTTGAATCGGTCCGAGACGGTCTCGAGCCGGTCTTTTTTCGATCCGGTCTTTTTTAGGACCGGCCTCTTTCCGGTCCGGTCTCGTTTTAGACCGATTCGGTCTCGGTCTTTTTTCGGGTCCGGTTCGAGACCGGTCTTTTTTTGTGCATTAAACGGATCATAGGAGAGATTAGTAACATAGTCATCATCTCATAAAGAGGAATGTTCATGCAAATCCTCCTCCGCGAACAACCTATTCTCGGTTGGAATGTAACAAAGACTCATCTTTTTGTTGTTCTTTATTTTTGAATGTGGAAAACCAGCCAACCATGTCCTAAACACGCACAATAAACATATTCCCATCCACACTAACAGGAAGCTCCTCAGAAATGATAGCTATAAGACGAGTTTGAATACATACACAATTTGTGAAAAAAAATTCAAGCAAAAACTTAATCATGTCTTTCTGACACAACCTCGTTATCTAACTTCGTTTATCGACGTTTTCACCTCGTTGAATATTGACTGTGAACGTATTTATTTTAAAAACAAAATTTTAAAGAAAATAATATACTTTTGCTTTTTTTATTTATTAAGTATCGCTATAAAATAATTCGAATATCCACATGTATTCAAGGAAAAAAAAAAATCATCTTTTGTCTTATTCAACATCCGCTTTACAAATGGACTTGTCAAAAAAAATGTCATCTCTAGTCTTGCAAACTTTGAAAGACACGTTGCAAGGCCCCACTCTTCAAAAAAAACTTTAAAAAACAATAATTTTTTTTATAAATATTTTTTATATTTATCTAAAATTGCATGTTCATGGTAATGTACAAGTAAATTAATTATGTAAAATCAGTTTTATGATTATACTAATAATTTTAAAAAATAAAATAATGTAAATATATTATCAATTAGTTATTAATTACAAATAATTAATATATTTGTTAAGAAATATCATGAAAAATTATAAATTGGTTGTTAATTTGGCAATGGGATCCATTTTAAAAGATAGATGTTAGTGCATCGATGTAAATGGTAATTACAAAATCTGATGAGTCATCAAAGGTAAACTGGTAAATGGTATTGCAATTATGTGGAGGATCTCTTAAATGTTATCTAGTATATATGAGACTGATTACAATTTTTATTAATTTATGTCAAACCATATTTTACAAATTTTCATGAAAAAAGGAAATCAAAACTTAGATTAGTTTCTGTCAATTATTACTAAAACAAATGATTACGAGACAATACATTATATATTTTTTACTAACCGCTATATCTAACCATGTTATTGATTAAGTTCAGGATTCAAAACTATTCTCAATATAAATTTTAACTAAGCAAACCTTTAGAAAAAATAGAAAAAATATAAGATTTTAACATCACATTAATAAATACAGATGTGACTCTCAGTCTCATTGACCTCCCAAGGGCCAAGAGACTGTCACTGAGACGAGTTATAATCCACTACTAGAAAATTCTTATTTACCTACAAAAATCACCTACGGAATAAAATCTGTTGTTAATTACATACGAAATTCCTATGGAATAACCACTAAAATATTTGCCCTAAATCACCTACAAACTACCTACATATTAGCAACAAAAATAATTTATGTAGGTAATCCGTTGATAATCACCTACAGATTACCTACAAATAATAATATTATATTCTAAAATTAGAATTTTGTAGTTATTCCGTAGGAATTTACCTACGGCATAGCGACGGAAAATTGAAAAACCCCAATATTTTAATCGACTTGTAAGTATTGTAGGAATTTTGTAGGCAATTAACTACATATTACTTACGGACATGAAAAAAAGTGGAACTTTTTAATTATTCGTAGGTAATTCGTAGTAAACTATTTTTCATTTCTCTTTTTTTTTTATTAGTGTTATTCATTCAACCATTCGAAAGTGAAAAATACAAGGAAGCACTAGTTAATTACCTATAGATTATCTACGGATTTTTTTTTGTATTTTTCATTTTCGAATGTATTAGATGTCTTTTTTTTTTGATAAATTTTTTCACAACATTATTATATATTGATTACTTTGTTTTCTCCAAGTTATACATCATATTAATATGCATACATCCATGTACACACTCGAAACTCATTACTCATTTCAAGTTTAATCATTTTTGTGTATGTGTATGTATAAAATGGTGTACATGGATGTATGTATGTTTATATGATGTATAACTTTGTGAAAACAAAATAATCAATGTATAATAATGTTGTGAAAAAATGAAGCGAAAAGAACGACATTTAACCTTTCGAAAATGAAAAATACAAAAAAAAAAATCTGTAGGTAATCCGTACGGATTACCTACGGATTTTTTTTTGTATTTTTCATTTTCGGAGGGTTAAATGTCATTTTTTTCATTTTTTTCACAACATTATTATACATTGATTAATTTGTTTTCACCAAGTTATACATCACATAAACATACATACATGCATGTGCACCATTGTATACATACACATACACAAAAATGATTACACTTTAAATGAGTAACGGGGTTTGATTGTGTACATGGATGTATGTATGTTTATATGATGTATAACTTTGTGAAAACAAAATAATCAATGTATAATAATGTTGTGAAAAAAATGAAGCGAAAAAAACGACATTTAACACTCCGAAAATGAAAAATACAAAAAAATATGTAGGTAAGCCGTAGGCAATTACCTACGGGTTACCTACGGATTTTGTATTCCGTGGGTAATCTGTAGGTATTTAACTATAGATTACCTACGGAATACAAAACTCGTAGGTAATCCGTAGGTAATTGCCTAAGGATTACCTACAATTTTTTTTTTGTATTTTTCATTTTCGGAGGGTTAAATGTCGTTTTTTTCGCTTCATTTTTTTCACAACATTATTATACATTGATTATTTTGTTTTCATAAAGTTATACATCATATAAACATACATACATCCATGTACACAATCAAACTCCATTACTCATTTCAAGTGTAATCATTTTTGTGTATGCGTATGTATACAATGGTGCACATGCATGTATGTATGTTTATATGATGTATAACTTGGTGAAAACAAATTAATCAATGTATAATAATTTGTGAAAAAAATGAAGCAAAAAACGACATTTAACCCTCCGAAAATGAAAAATACAAAAAAAATCCGTAGGTAATTAACTACGGATTATACATTGATTAATTTGTTTTCACCAAGTTATACATCATATAAACATACATACATGCATATACACAATCAAACCCCGGTACTCATTTCACTTTTAATCATTTTTGTGTATGTATATGTATACAATGGTGCACATGCATGTATGTATGTTTATATGATGTATAACTTGGAGAAAACAAAATAATCAATGTATAATAATGTTGTGAAAAAAATGAGGCGAAAAGAACGACATTTAACCTTTCGAAAATAAATGTACAGGGGAAAAGAACGACTAACACGTGAGTTAAGGGGCTTCATAATTTGTACTCTAATATATGTACAGGGTTGTGCGGAGTGCACACATGTATAAGATCGAATTAGAATCCGTTTCTACGACTAGTCGGGGGTCCGGGGGCAGCGCCCCTGGATCCGGGGTTTCCAAAGGGGCGGCGCCCCTTTGGCGGGGTGTAGGGGCAGCGCCCCTAGCGGGGTCCAAGGGGCTGAGCCCCTGGCTGGGGTCCCGCTGACCTCACCATTTTTTACATATGAGAACATAGTGGAAAATTCAATTTTCTTGAGGGTGATATCAACCAAAATATATAACTTGAAGACGAAGACGAACCCTACATCGAATTATACATTAATTATTATTATTTTTTTCACAAATTTATATATAATTTCAACCAAAAACTATTTTTTTTGTATTTCTTTTAATAATATTATGATAAAAACAAGTTATAAAGATTCTAAAATTATTGTTTAAAATATTTTTGTTTAAAGAAATTGTATTTTTAATTTTCGTTGGAGATTTGTAGGTAAATAAATCATATTTTAATTTTAGATCCGTAGGTACTCAAACATGTTCCTCCTTACCGTTCCCTTTTTTCTCTGACTTGAAGACGAAGAACCCTACATCGATTTGGAGCGCCGCTGCCGGAATTTTGTTTACTAACGCAACAGCGCCCGTCGGAATCGTATGTATTATTATCTCTTCCCCTCAATTTTGTTTCTCGACACTTGTAATCACGATTTGACGAACCCTAGATAAATTTCAGTTTCCGGCGGTTGCTCCACTTCACCGCCACTGTCGTCGGTATCTTCCACATTCCCACCACCACAACTATCGCCGGTTCCTCCCACTCCACCGTCACTGTCGCCGGTTTCTCCCAATCCACTCCACCGACACTTGTAATCAGGTATATCGTTCACAACTTCGAAAATTGTTTGAGAGGTTTGTTCAAACTTCAACCTGGTATATATGTGTTGTATGTATAAGTGTGTATGTTGTGTTTATCAATGTATATGCTCAATTGCAATCACATCAATATGTAGTATGTATCAATTTGTACATTTTCACATCAGTTTGTATCAATGTATGTATATAAATGGTTGTATCAGTTACCAGACAGCATATAACTTGAAATAAACATAATAAGAACATTACTAGCTATATTAATAACAGGAAAAAAATAAGAATATAGTTGAGTTCAAGCATGAAAGAGACATTCCTCAATATGTTGTATCAGTGTATGTATACGTATGTATTAGTATTTGTATTGTTAAGTGGTTAAGTGCTTAAGTTGTTAAATTGTATTGTTTAGTTTTTGTTTTAACAATTTTAAATAATTATCTCTAGACGAGATGTCACAGAATAGAGAATGGATGTACACAATGAGACTCACTAAGGATGGTCGTTTCAATTCTGGATTTGGACAATATGTCCATGATTTCTTGGAATTTGCTTACACCAATGCAACAAACATTAAACCTATCATTCAAGAGGGGATGGAGGTTTTTCAAATTAGATGTCCATGTTGGAAATGTAAAAATCGTGATTACAATACGAGAGAGATAGTTGCGCAACATCTATATGATGTTGGATTCGTGAAAGATTATTCAATATGGCATGCACATGGCGAATTATATCCAACACAAGAAATTGGTCAATCTTCGAACCCAATACCATCTCAAGTCATGGCTCAAGAAATTAATAACCATGTTGGTGATTTTCCTAGATACCAACAAATGGTTATTGAAAGCATGTACGGGCCTGAGGTTCCTTATTATCAGCAAGGACCACAACACCCAAATCAATCGGCCCAAACTTTCTTTAAACTGGTGAACCAAGCGAATGAGCCATTGTGGGACGGGTCTCTAAAAGCATCCACACTCTCTACCACTACCAGATTATTGAATTGGAAATCTGAGTGTAATGTTTCAGACTCGTCATTTGATAGACTACTTCCGATAATCAAAGACAGTCTACCAACAGGTGCGAAGCTTCCTGATAACTTCTACGAGACCAAGAAAATGTTAAAGCCATTAAAGTTACCTTCACAACGAATCCATGTGTGTAAAAACCATTGCATGCTATTCAATGGACATCATTCTAATTTGGATCATTGTTTAGTATGTAATGAATGTAGATACACAAAAATTGGTGGCAAGGTTCCTAATCTAGTCATGACTTATATGCCAATTGGACCGAGACTTCAAAGGTTGTTCTATTCAAAGAAGACAACTCAACATTTGACTTGGAACTCAGATCATCAAGTAGATCCTGAAAAGATGATACATCCGAGTGAAGGTCGAGCATGTAGTCATTTTGACAGGGTCTATCCTGATTTTGCACAGGAGACGCGCAATATCCGTCTTGGGTTGTGTACTGATGGGTTCAGTCCAAGCATTTCAAATGTGAGTCCTTATTCATGTTGGCCAATGTTTATGACAATTTATAACCTGCCTCCTTGGTTGGCCTTCAAACATCAGTACATAATGCTTCCTTTGATCATTCCTGGGAAGAAGAGTCTCGGACAAAATTTGGATGTTTTTCTACAACCATTAGTGGACGAGCTGAAGATGTTGTTCACATGTGGTATTGAAACTTATGATGCTCATCGAAGGGACAATTTTCAGATGAGAGTAGTACTGCTATGGACAATTAGTGACTTCCCTGCTTATGGAATGTTGTCTGGATGGAGTACGCATGGTAAGTTAGCTTGCCCATATTGTTTGAATAAATCAGGATCATTCTGGCTCGACGAAGGAAAAAAAATGTGTTGGTTTGACTGTCATAGACAATATCTACGTAAAGGACACACGTTCAAAAATGATAAGATTAATTTTAAGAAAAACCAGACAGCGAAAGAAGAAAGACGTATTCCATACCCAACCGGAGATGAAATTTGGGAGACAATCAAACATTTCAACACTGTTTACCAAGGTACTCCATATGGTCCAAAATATGTAAATCCACCTGGTTTTGGAGTTACACATAATTGGGTAAAGAGGAGCATCTTTTGGGAGCTTCCATATTGGCGTCACTTGTTAATCAGACACAACCTTGATTTGATGCATATCGAGAGAAATGTGTTTGAAAATTTCTTTCACACTTCCATGGGCACCCCTAGATCTAAAGACAAATTGAATTCAAGGAAGGATATTGAGGTTCTATGTGATAGACCTATTTTAAACCCCATCAAGGATAACAATGGGAAGGCTCGAATGAAGAAGGGAGATTACACTTTGGAAAAGGACCATGTTAAATTAGTTTGTGATTGGTTGAAAAAACTGAAGTTTCCAGACGGCTATGCTTCAAACATAGGGAATTGTGTAAACATCAAGGATGGTAGTTTTTATAGCTTCAAAAGCCACGACTGTCACGTGTTTATGCAACAGTTGTTTCCAATTGCTATTAGAAGGTTTGTTCCAAAAATGATATATGAGGCCATTACAGAGTTGTCCATGTTCTTTCGCGTATTATGCTTAAGAACATTGCATATGGAGGACTTATATAACATGAAACACAGTGTTGTTCAAACCATCTGCAAGTTAGAGAAAATATTTACACCCAGTTGCTTTGATTCCATGGAACACCTGATCATACATTTAGTTGATGAAACTATTATTGGTGGTCCGGTACATTATAGGGGGATGTATCAATACGAGAGGTAATCACAATGTTTAACATGTTATCAAATATTTTATAAGTTTTTTTTCGTATTCCTAACACATTATTGATAATTTCGAAATATAGGAAGTTGGGCTTAATAAAAAGAAGAATTAGAAACAAAGCAAGGGTTGAGGGTTCAATCATCAATGAACATCTAGTGAATGAACTCGCTACCTATTGTTCTTTATATTTTGCACCTACGATTGAGACACGTCATAATCGAGAGCCGCGTAATTTCGCACCGCAACATCACAACTCTTTGAGTGAACAACCTCCACTAAGTGTGTTTGCTTTACCATCAAGAAGGTTATATGAAAAGGGTGGAAAGCAAAAATGGATGACTCATGAAGAACACCACAAGGAGCACACCTACATTTTACTAAATTGTGCAGAAGTTACCCTTACATCCAAGAGTTTGATGAAGTTGCTCCACGAATGTATCAGGGCGAACAAGTTGCGAGTCTCAGAGATAAATACTTTGCTCAATGGTTTGAGCAAAAAGTAAGTAAAACTAGCAAGTAAAACTAGTTCAATAGTAGTTATTAGTATTAATGCATCATTATAAAACACAATATGTAAATGTTGTTCAATGTAGGTAAGGCTAAACTCAGATGGAAGTGCTAAACATCTAGAAGCCTTAGCACGAAAACCAGAGCAGTATGATGAGTATCATAACGGATACTTTGTAAATGGTAATAAGTTTCACACTCAAAACCATGGTAAAGTGCGTGCGACGAATAATTATGGGGTATGCGTGAGGGGGGAGATGTATATGTTGGATTAGGTGTTTAAGCCCATAACTATAATTGGTATGTACTTGAATTGATAGCAGCACAGTCCTTTTGGGTTGCCCTCAACCTAGCAACTGGACAAGGAAATTATGAAAGGAGAGATATTAATTTATAAGATTAATAAATTAATATGTAAATGATTTATTAATATGTTAATGGATTAATATATTAATTAGAAATCATTATGTTTAATTAATAGTTAGCCAGAAATTAATCAGAAATTAATCAGACTCAATGCCCGAGTACATATGAGGAAATAGATGACATGAGTCGTGTACCTTATGCTTCCGCTGTCGGATCGATCATGTACGCTATGACATGTACTCGCCCTGATGTGGCATTTGCTTTGAGCATGGTCAGTCGCTATCAGGGAAACCCAGGTAGAGCTCATTGGATAGCGGTTAAGAATATACTCAAGTATTTGCGAAGGACAAAGGACTGGGTCCTTGTGCTTGGTGGCAATGATACTTTGAGAGTAGATGGTTATAGTGACGCCAGCTTTCAGACAGATAGAGATAACTTCCGTTCTCAGTCAGGCTGGGTATTTTTACTGAATGGAGGAGCAGTTACTTGGAAGAGTTCCAAGCAAGATACGGTGGCTGATTCTACTTGTGAATCAGAGTACATAGCAGCGAGTGAAGCGTCGAAAGAAGCAGCTTGGTTGAGGAACTTCATCGGAGATCTCGGAGTTGTTCCAACCATCCAGGAGCCTATGGAACTGTTCTGCGATAATGAAGGAGCGGCTGCCTTGACAAAGGAACCGAGAGATCATGGTAAAACCAGACATATCGACAGAAAGTACCATTTCATCAGACATAGAGTAGAAGAAGGCCATCTTATAGTAAAGAGGGTGTCATCTGAAGATAACCCAGCAGATCCCCTCACAAAGGGTCTGATTAGAGCTAAGCATATTCAGCATGCTCGGAGCATAGGACTGAAAGATGATATTAGTTTTAGTAGTTAGATTAGTTTTGTTCTGAAACTTGTAACAAAGTAAATGTAATTGACTTTTGGTGATTAAATAATAAAGTATTATTTATTAGTTTGGTTACTGCCTTTTGTCAATTGTTTATTATTGTGTTTCATATTTTGCATGTTTTACTTCCTTAATAATAAGATTATTCAAACTCCACAGTCGCTCATACTTTTGGAAGTAAGTAGTGAATTAAGACTGTCATGAACTGGATTGTAGATTGTCTAAGGATAGACATGGCGATAGAATTGCTGCAACGTTCATGAGTACTCAGAAATTGAGATTTGAGTATTGGATAAACCCTCGCTCAGAGTATCACTTCATGGAATTTATCACGAGTAATACTGAGACGATAATATCTTATAATCTTGAAACGGAGATATATGAGTTGTAATTTACAAGTCGGTCATGCATTGGTGATACGAAAACGCATCAGTAACTTGGTGTTATAAAACGTATTGTCATGTATAATTTGATGAGTAAAAGATACAAGCATATGAGTCAACGTTTATTCGTTCCTTTTGCCCTAACAGGAAAAGCGATATCTGTGGGCCCCTCGATGATTTGGTGTTGACTTATGTGCTGGGCCCAACCAAGACTAAATTGATGTGTTCAATTAGAAGTCCTACATCATCACAAATCAGGAATCGGAAAACATAGATTCTGGACAAAGATATTGATTACATTCCTGTTGGGTTATGAGCATTCTAACACTCCTAAGTGTACATGCAACCCTAAATACCTTGGATCTATGTTTTCTCTATTATACATACAATTATGAACATCCAAGGTATTATCCTAATCTAGCATACAAAATAATAAATATAACAAGATAGAATACATACCTCTTTGATGTAGAATGTCTTCATGAAGCTTGAGTGCCTAGTGCCCCAAGTGTGACACCTCAAATGGTTCACACAACACCAAATACACGTGGAATAACTTGAGAGAAACTTGAACACTCCTTGAAATCGTCTAGCCCTCACACTCACACATTAGTGCACGATTTCTTGAGCCATGAGATTCTTTTATATGGTGGCTATTAGGGTTACACCATGTAACTCATAACTTTACCCATTCCTTATGCTCCATGGATTTTAACCTCCATGGAGTATCCATGGGTCACCCCATGGACTTAGTCCAACATAAGGAATCTTGGATCACAAGCCCACATATATAAGAATGAATGATTTACACAATCAACCCATATATTTAATTAGTCTCATTTTGATCACTTAATTAATTCCAAATTAATTATTGATCAATACTAATTAAATAACCTTATTAATCTATTAGAACTTATAATATATTAACCAACCTTAAGTGTTATTTCTCTCATTATAGTCTATCCAAATGCATGATGCCATGCAACCCAAATGGACCATGCCGGGTCGGGTCAAGTCTTACCAATTATAGTTATGGACTTAGACATCAATCCAACAATTCCATGTCTTATGTCTGGGGATATCATGCAGATCGAAGGATTATATGATCACTTATCTTAGGACACGTAACTGACTGGGTCAGAGTTCGGCAGCAGTTTTTGGAAGCTACAATTTGCTGGTCAAATTTAGAAGGCATACTAACAATTATAGTTACAGACTTATCCAAGTGGGAGACTGTTGGATTAGGTGTCTAAGCCCATAACTATAATTGGTATGTACTTGAATTGATAGCAGCACAGTCCTTTTGGGTTGCCCTCAACCTAGCAACTAGACAAGGAAATTATGAAAGGAGAGATATTAATTTATAAGATTAATAAATTAATATGTAAATGATTTATTAATATGTTAATGGATTAATATATTAATTAGAAATCTATATGTTTAATTAATTGTTAGCCAGAAATTAATCAGAATTAATTTTGGGTTAAAAGTATTAATTGTAAAGTACAGGGACTAGTTTGCAATTAACTAATAGTTGAGTGGAAGGATCCAGAACCTCCTTGGAAGGAGGTGGACGAAATCCATAGGGGAAACCCTAGAGATTTCGTCCAAGGGGTTCTAGATAAGGCCCTTGGGCTTTGCTTAGGCCTTAAGCAAGGAGCATTAGGGTTTTCCCAAAACCCTAGATCCCTCAGCTATTTAAGGAGCCTCCTGGCTCACATTTTCGACCACTCTGTTCTTTGGAAGAAACCCTAGGCCGAATTACATACTCCCTCCCTCTCTCTCTTCTTCTACTTTCCTTCTTGCTAGTTCTTGGGTGTGATTCCATTAGAGGCATTACACTTGTGGTGCTAAGCTTCCAAGAAGATCAAGATCAAGATCAAGGGAATTATCAATTGTTTGCTATAACAATTGAAAGGTATGTAACTCCTAAACCCTAGTTTACTATTTTCGAAAATAGCCTCCTCCTTTAGGGTTCTTGTTTTGCAATTCAAAGTTGTATGTTCAATAGTTAAAACATAGATCCAAAGTAGATTGCATGTGAACTTAGGAATTGTTTCTAGTTTATTTGTTTTACCTAAAACCCATCAGTATAATGCTGAAGAGTCAGATTACTACGGCTTAGTGGATGAGATACTAGAGATTAAGTATTATGGCATCGGACCCTCGACTGTTGTACTGTTCAAATGCACTTGGTTTGATAACAACAACGGTGTAATCGTTAACAAAAATAAGATGGTTGATGTCAAATACAAGTCTCGACTTCAAACGAACGACCCTTTTTGCTTGGCATCACAAGCGGAACAAGTATTTTATACACCATACCCTGCAATGACTAGGGAAACAAAAGATTTGTGGGCGGTTGTCAAAACAAAACCAAGAGGGGTATTTGAAGTCACCCAAGATGAAATTGATGCAGACGGGTTCTTTCAGATTGATGAGCGGTTTGAATTACCAAATGAAGTAACTCGCACTGACCGTCTATGCCTAGCATTAAATACAAATACCTATGATGAAATATCTGATGAGGACAGCGTGGGATCTCAACATCTCAACAGGATCAACATGAGGAACAACTTGAAGACGAAGATGATATAGAGGATAACGGAAATGAACTTGTTTATTCTGATGACGGTTCTGATTATGATGAGGAGTGATGTTAGGAACATTGTTTATTGTTGTGCACTTCAAATTATTACAATTAATTAAATGACATGTTCACTTTAAGTTATTTGTGATTATAAACTTTATTTGTGATTTATGATACGAATATTATTAACATTGTTTTTTGTTGTACATGTCAATCTTATATTATATATCTGACCTTTTTTTGTGATTTATTAAACGCAGCATGTCGGAACGAGGTCGGGCATCTTTCTCTAATCTAGCTGGAAATACAGGTGGTAATTTGTATAGAGTTGTGTCGTCACCCGACTCTAATCTACGTGGTAGTATGGGTGGTAACTTACAACGAGGTCGGACATCTTTACCTAATCTAGGCATCGCTGATCCCCAGACAAATTTTGCGGCGGTGTTTAGTCAAGTTACCCCACACGGCCTTCAGATGATTGGCGGTCGTGGCGAGGAGCGGGCTGATAATTATTATACTCAGGAGGATGATTGTGGTATAAACATGCAGACACCTCGCCACTCGAATGTTGAAGATACGTCGGGTGGCTCTAATGTTGCAGATTCACATGGTTCTGAATTACCGTTGATCCACCGAGATGGGAAGGGGTTAGTCTTTTTGTTATTTATATTTATGATTATTCATGTTATGATTATACTTATATAGTTATTTCAATTTTTAGGTTTGCAGACCATTCTATACATGGGTACATTGCAGAAATGGCATGGGATTGTTTGGATCATGCTTGGCCTAGATATAAGAGTATCCCACGGGAGGTTGTCAAACAATGGTTTGCGCGTTTTAAGGTAATATATTGATTATTTTTTTGTATATTTTATCCTTATTCTATTTTAATTTGCAAATTAAGTTTACTTCTTATTTTTTTGCAGACTCGTTATCGGTGGAATTCACAAGAAGAAGGTGACATCTTCGATTGTTTTGAGAGTGTTTTGAAAGAGCGTTTTAGAGAGAGAATGGGGGTTGTTAAGAAAACATCAGCAAGAATGGCAAGAAAAGCAGGGCATACTATCCATGAAATTAATGACTCATATCAGATCCTCCAGAATTTTGCTCCTCGTCCCATACATGAAGACGTGTGGAGGCGTTTGTGTGCTGTAAGTGATCTGGTTCATTATTGTTTACTTTTGTTTCTTATATATATATATATATATATATATATATATATATATATATATATTCTTTTTACAGTATTGGGACACAGATGAATGGAAGAAAAAATCTCTTATCGGGAAGAGGAACCGTAGCACTTCTGTTGATTCTGGGGTGACAGCTACGTATACAGGCGGCAGCATCGGAGTCAGCGAGACTCGTAAGCGGATGGTAAGTAATCATAATTATAAATTTTATTAATATGTTTTCTCTTGGCACCAATTACATCAACTATATTTTCGTTTATGTAGAAAAAGTTGACGGGTAAAGACCCATACTAGGTCGATGTGTTTATGAAGACACGTCTTACAGCAGAGTCGAAGGCAAAGTATTTTAATGGGGATGGCGAGGGATTGCAATATATCACTAGTACAACACAACAAGCATATGTAAGTTATCTTTTATCATTTTCATATAGACTGTTTTGGTTTTCTGTACAATTAAAATGGTGTTGTTTTGATAAATTATAGGAGGCATATAGGAGAGGCCTCGTCGAGAAGTATGGAGACGATCCGACTCAGCAAAGAACTAATGATCCTGAGTTGTGGGCCGCCACACAGATGCAGAGGCAGGGAGGGAAAGGCAAAGGTCGCATCTATGGGATTGGATCATCTGATCTTCATTTTGCTGTAAGCGGGACATATTCTTTTGGGTCTACCTCGTCCTCGGCGGAACAATCACAACAAGAGGTATACTTATTCGATAAATGCATTATGTTTTATAGAGAAAAATAAAAATATGTCGTTGCCATTATGGATAGTACATGGATGAAAATAAAGTATGTTGCTATTATGGGTGGTCGAATTGAAATGCATTGCTTATTATGGATGAATACTATAGTATGTTGCTATTATGGATATTATAAGGTAAAGTATATTGCTATTATGGATTGTTGATATAAAATAAAGTATGTTGGTATTATTGATTACATTGCTTATATTTTCTTATAATGAATTAAAAGTAAAGTGCATTGCTATTATGGTTTAAAAGTGAAGTTGACTTGCTGATTTTAATGTTCATACCATTTTTAGGTGCTAAGGTTGAGAGAGAAAATGGAAAACATGCAAATCGAGATGCAAGCTAAATTGGATTTGCAATTGAAAGAAAGAGAAGCTGAAATGGATGCACGATTTCAAATAAGACAACATGAAATGGATGTGCGACACGCTCAATTAGAAGAACAAGTTGCGGTCATTTTGAGAAAGTTGAACCCATCGGGTAATCCGCCTAATAGTTCCTAGTTTTATGAATGTTAAACATTAGAAATGTATTAGACTATAAACAACCCATCCGGTAATCCGCTAGATAGTTTCTAGCTTTTTGTGAATGTCAGTGACATTTTATTTTGGCCGGTAATCCGCTAGATAGTTTCTAGCTTTTTGTGAATGTTAGTGACATTTAATTTTGGCCGGTAATCCGCTAGATAGTTCCTAGCTTTTTGTGAATGTTAATGACATTTTATTTTGACCGGTTGAATATGAATGTAATGGGTTTTTTTCTGCATTTGTAATGTATTATTGGTTTTTCTGTATTTTAGGTAGAAAAAACCTGGATATTTTTCAGTTTTTTTTATTTAAAGGAAATCATTTAGCTATGGATTTGCGACAGATATATCTGTCACAAATAATTGGAAAAGTCGTAGGGAATCAGTAGGTAATTTTTAGTGTAGGAAATCTCTAGGTCATATTTTTTTGTAGGAAATTTGTAGGTAATATTTATTGTAGGTAATCCGTAGCTAGAATTCCGTAGGTAATCTGGAGATAAAAGTTCCGTAGGTAACCTGTAGTAAAACAACTTCCGTAGCTAATCCGTAGGTGGCTAGAGTTGTAGGCAATCCGTAGGAAAATTACCTACAAAAAATTCTGTAGGTAGTCTGTAGGAAATTCCGTAGGCAATCCGTTACAACCATTTACCCACAAGCTATATTCCTACGGAGTTTTTTCCGTAGGTAATCCGTAGGCAAACCGTTTTACCTACAACTTACCTACGCAATTTGTTGTAGGTAATGGAGCAGTTTTCTAGTAGTGATCTCATACTAAAAGCGTGTTTTGTATAGGGATAATTATCTAATGCATATGACGTTAATTACTTAAATAAATTAATCGAAGACATGTATCAAATATAAGTTGATTAAAACAAAAAATTATATATATGAAGGTCTAAACATTAAACATTTAAAAAATAAATTCAAAATAAATATAATTGGAATGATAAGACCAAAGGGAGTGGACATGGTTTGTCCAGCGGTTTGCCATGGTGGTAGTGAGGAACACCGCCCCCATCCTGCGGTGTCCATTATGGTTTGACCGCGTGCGGTAAGAAACAACTGCTCTCTCTCTCTCTCTCTCTCTCTCTCTCTCTCTCTCTCTCTCTCTCTCTCTCTCTCTCTCTCTCTCTCCACACCTAGTGTGTGACAAAGATCATACTAAAATATGGTAAAGTTGACATAGAGTCCATGTGGCGTCTACATGGCACAGGAGAAAATGTAGTTTTTGTAGCACCACTTCCTCTGGCTTAAATAAGTAATTATTTTAATTAAGTAATAAAAAAAACGGTTGTAATGTAACATACAACTATAAGTAGATAATAAGATAATATTTTACATTTAATAATATATTTATAATTAATAGATTATTTATATTCGATTGAAAATTGAATATGAAAATTTTAAATTTTTAATGAAAATTAGGAAAGAACCCCACTTTGCGGGGTTAGGTACGCCAAAGAAATAGAAAAAACAGGAAGATTTTATTGAGTTACATTAAACTGGTTTTGTAGTTCCAATCCTTTATAGAAGATTCTTTAGTTGACCTTCAACATTTGACTATTACAGTCTTGTTACACATTGAAGCATCTGCTGAAGATTCCAAAGAACTATCAGTCTCCACAACATTTTCAAGTTTTTCACCTCTTGCAACTCTCAACTTTTCCAGTTTTTGAAACTGCTTTCAAAGCATTATCAAGCTTTCCTGTTTTCGGAACAACAGATTGCTTTGAAGTTTCTACCCAATTCTAACAATGTCTTAAAAGTACAATGCCCTAATGAGAAACTTTGAAAGTTAAATGTTACTATAGAATGAAATGAAAATAGAATTTTACGTGATGTACATCTACTGTTGTTGCAGTTACACTTACTTTGATTTGACTCCTTCATACTTTGCATACATACACACAAACAGATGAATATGAACATGAACAAACCAAAATAGTCAGATTTGGAGAAGCACATAAGATGCCAATTACCAAAAAAAAACATTATAAACCTAATTATTGTTAAGTAAGCACCTGATGATCTATCTCAGTTTCAACTTCTACCTATTCCACTCAGAATGATCTTGAGTTAATACGAAAAGAGTGAAGTTCACCAAAACTACACCAGGGTAAAAGTGGTCCAAAGGTTGACCAAAAAAATGCTTTCATATATCAATCCATCGATAGAATGTTAGAGGAATTTCTTAAAAACCAACAAAATAATCATAGAAACAACAAACACCACCAAATAACCCAAAAAATGAAAAATATGACACCTAGGGCAAAATGGTCAACACTTGAAAGGCTGCAATAAATTTGACATCATATAAATTAAATGATATAGATCAGCCATACACAACCATCATGCTTCTATGCTTATTGCAAATTAAAGATTAGCCATATCACCAAAAAATAAGAAGAAACTGATGTAGTTTATTAACCGTTTTTACAAAAAGTACAATTTTTCTATTCTAATAAAATCATCATACTTTATTAACTGTATTTTAAAAAAAAAGTAAATTTTCTTGTCACCAGGTTGTAATATCCATTTACTCACTGAAGTATTACTATTATAATAATGAAAAAAAAAGTAATAGTTAAGAGGTAAGTCAAAAAAACAGGGAAAAATGTGTTTTTTTGTATTTTAACATTTTTCGAAACTTGCTTAAAAATGATATTTATCCCTCTTGTCTAAACGTTCGCGTATCATTTTGTGTACTTATTTGTCTTCATGATTCTATGACTCCTGATACAAATAATATGGTCGAAGTTAATTATAAATATATTTGTTTCAAATATGATAAATGAAAAAAAAATGTTGAAACTGCAAAGATTTAACAAAGGGAAGAAAATTACCTTTCATCATAGTTGTTTAAGGTAAAATGTCGTTGTTATCATTGAGTGTTATGTTCTCTGAAAAAAGTTCTCACCTTCTGACTGCTAAGGTAAACATTTGAATTGACATCTTTAGAAAATTTCCTATGTAAATTAGTTTGATTATTTTTTTTTGCATTTTCAGGTTTTGTCGTAGCCAATGACATGCTTTGAAATAAGATAAACAACAAATATAACATGAATGCATAGTAAAGTAAGAGTATAATTTATAAAAAAAAGATCAAATACTTTAGAAATTACATGTGCTGAGGAGTTTATGCCCTCAAAATCCTTTGCAAAGCACAAAAAAAGAATACTAAATTGGGCTGCAAAATCAAGATAACGCCTCAATGTTAAGAACACTTAGATCTGTGACTCGGTAACAAAGGTTGCTTATCTCTTGCATTATTGCAAAAGCTAAGCCATCCAAGCAATCAGGCTACAGAAACGACGTAATTCATTATGTTTAATTCAAAAAACAAATGTTTTTTTTATATAACAAAGATTCACTGATATCGGACCTGCTTAGAAATTAGCTGGAACAGAACTAAAGATACACAAATTGGGAATCTCTTATTCACGTCTATTTTTATCTAAAAAAAAGTCCCCCCAACAAAGAAAACTAGAGCTATTAATAACTAACCTAAAGCCAATAAAATAGGAACTAATCATGAGATGATAAACACCAGACTCACAAGATAACTACTAAAACAAAAGATAACTCTGAGATTCCAATGTAAACTACTCATCTTGGACCAGCCCATCAGTGCCCGAGTCAACTGGCCCAGCTGCATCATCCTCCTCGCCTTCGAAAGGACTCGTCCTCGAGTCCAACGGATCATCTAGCTCAGGTAAAAATGGAGACAAGTCAGCTACATTAAAAGTGGCCGAGATATTATAATGCCCATGAAGGTCGATCTTGTACGCGTTATCATTTATCCGCTTCAATACTTGAAATGGCCCATCAGCCCGAGGTCGCAACTTGCTCGCCCGACCCCCTGGAAAACGCTCCTTGCTGAGGTGCACCCAAACGAGATCACCCTCCTGAAACACCACCTTCCTCCGCCGCACATTGGCACGTCGTTGACAGACGACGTTATTATTGGCAATTTGTTCCTTCACCTGATGGTGGATAAGTTTGATTTGTGCAGCCCCGTCCTCCCCTTCAGCACTAAAATATTCGGTTGCCGGAGATGGTGCAAGATCCAAAGGCGTAAACGGATTTCGCCCATATACAACAAGGAAGGGGCTCATTCCAGTAGACCGGTGAGTCGAACGGTTTTAAGCGAATTCCGCGTGAGAGAGAACCAAGTCCCACTGCCTTGGATTGGACCCCACCAAACTACGTAACAGATTGCCTAAGCTCCTGTTCGTAACCTCCATTTGGCCATCACTTTGCGGGTGATGTGCACTACTGAAATTTAGTCGGGACCCCAACCGTTTCCATAACGTCCGCCAAAAATGACTCACGAACTTGACATCTCGATCCGAAGTTATCGATTTGGGAACACCATGCAAGTGCACTATCTCAGCAAAGTATAAACGGGCAATTTGGCTGGCATCGTATGTCTTTGCACATGGGATAAAGTGGCTCATCTTAGAGAACTGGTCCACCACCACCATTATTGAGTCCTTTTGTCGCTGAGTTCGCGGCAAACCCACCACAAAATCAAGACTAACGTCTTCCCATGGGCCCTCCGACACCGGTAAGGGTGTGTATAAGCCGGCATTGGTCCGGTGCATCTTTACAACATGACACACCCGACATCGGTCCACCACCCGAGCAACAGACAAGCTCATTTTTGGCCAAAAAAATGTTCTTTGACCAGCTGGAGTGTCTTGTCTCGCCCGAAATGCCCAACGAGAGCCCCTTGATGTCCTTCTAATAAGATGGCTTCTCATAGAGAGCATTGATGCACACACAACCGGGTACCCTTAAACAAGAAACCTTCATGTAGTGAATATTCTTGAGAAGGCCCTAGGCGACAAGCCTCCCACAACTTCGAGAAATCTGGGTCAACTGGGTAAAGCATGGAAAATAATTCAAATGCATCTATTCGTATGTTGAGAGAAGTAAGCAAGCCTCGTCGGCGGCTGAGGGCATCCGCCACAATATTCGTAACTCCCGACTTATGTTTGATTGCAAAAGAAAAATCCTGCAAAAACTCGACCCACTTAGCGTGTCGCGGGTTGAGTTTATGCTGCCCCTGAATGAAACGAAGCGCCTGATGGTCAGAAAACAACACGAATTATGTGTGTAGGAGATAGTGGCGCCAAAACTCCAGGCT